CCACAGCCCACAACCACAACACACAGCCACAAAGACACATCCACAGCACACAGCCACAAAACACAGCCACAGCCACAGCACACAACCACAACCCACAGCCACAACCCACAACCACAACACACAACCACAACACACAACCACAGCACACAACCCGAGGACCCACAAGCAAAATCGAGAACCACAAAACTCACGACCATGGCAACATGCTCCTCGCCATGGCATGAAGACAAATGACTGAAATGTCATGGTGGGGATTACCGTGTTTATTCCTTTTCTACCACACGCGCGGCAAAAACAGTAAACATTGTATACCGTTATTTCCGGGAGGGGCCGCCATATTTTTTTTTTGAACCTCGCACGCGGTCTTATAAATAACATCTACATATATAAACACAATGTGTATTATATGGCACAATAAAACATTTATTTATATGGCACAATAAAACACAATGTGTAAAAAACATTTACAGTATATAAACACAATAAAACATAAAGCCTGTTTTACAACTTTATGGGGGGATCACCATATGTCTCTTTTAACCATGGGCGCGGTAAAAACGGTACACATCATGTGTGTTCATTTTCTACCGTGTTTCCCGGGCGGTCGCCCTATCACGCGGTAAAAACGGTAAAAATAGAAAACACACAAAAAAGAAACGGTTTTTAGCGATTTTCCCGGGGGGGTCGCCATATGTTTTTTACCATACACGCGGTAAAAACGGTAAAATCATGTGTGTTCTGTTTCTACCATTTTTGCCGGGGTCGCCCTATGTCTTTTACAATACGTGCGGTAAAAAACATTTAAAAAAAAAAATCAAACATGTTATGCTTTTATATACCGTTTTTCCCGGGCGGTCGCCCTATGTTTTTTACCTCACACGCGGTAAAGACGGTTAAAACAAGGAAACGGTTTTTGCATTTTCCCGGGGAGGTCGCCATATGCTTTGCCATACGCGCGGTAAGAACGGTAGAAATCGATGCTTTTGTTGTTTTATTGTTTTTCCCGGCGGGGGTCGCCCTCTGTTTTTTATCACATGCGCGACAAACATCAACATGTTTGTTTTTACTGTGTTCTCTGCGCGGGCGCGAGCGGGTACCCCTTAGCAGAACAACGCACGCGAACTGGCAGTGAATAGCCAGTAGCATGCTAAAGCGACTGTATCTGAAGGCTTTGCTTGTTCACATGCTGTAGCCCAGCTCACCTCCCGCGCAGGTTTGAGAATCTCACCAGCAGGCCTTTGCACATCTGATTGAAGAAGAGTACAAAAGACCGAGCTACAACTAGAACAGTCTCTTACCAGCAACGTCTTGTCAATTACAGTACAATGATATTTCTGATCTTTGAGCTTCATTCTACATTGATTGGCATACTTGAGGAGAAAACACATTAGCGATCGTGCTCTCCACTGGCAAAGACAAGGTATCATCGGGCCTCCACAGCTGCAAAGCAAAAGAACAAAAGAAACAAAGACATTCCGAATTCGGTGCAAACAACTTCTCAGACTTCTCAGCTTCAAATGCATCCAGCCTTATCTCATTTATGGTGTCGTGCTCAGCAGCACAACATGTCATGGCACACTTGCCTTCCCGACACTCTCAATGTGTCAATGAGACATACAAGAATTTCTAGAACATCAATCAAATCTATCGCAAGCGATCATTGATTCATAGAACAATGAATTGCTGAATCGCACCTTCGCTATGCAAAGTGGTGCCAAGAACAAGCTCGGCCTGTCAACTGAAAAATGAGCGATGCAGCGATCTCTGAGCCTCTCAAACCGCCTTGACGAAGGGCCCATCCAACATTTTGGAGGGGTCCTGCCAGGATCATCCTGCTGTCATCTTTCTACTTCCTCTTTCCATGGAACCCGTGGAACACGCTTGTTTCAACAAGAAAACAACTTGAAAACCCAGAAACCCAGAGCCGGTCCAGATCAAGACGGACAACCTGAGGCGTTCTGAGAATAAAAGCTACATTATACAGCTTTGCTAGACAAACTAATAGCAATGGCCTCCAAACTACTAGCGATGACCTCCAACTAGACGGCTAGAAATGTACAATTGCTCCTTTCACTACTTCTCTGATGTCAGCAGTCTCTTGGACTCTAGGACCTAAAAACACTCTGGACATCATGCAAATGGAGCGGGTTTAAGTCTCCGGCTCCACAATTTGGCAACTTTCCGGTGCTCAAGCGTTGAGCCAATTCATTTGGCCTGTTCAAACATCTGGCATACCACAGGTGCCAAAGGCGCTGAAGCATGATGAAACCAATCAGGTGGTCTCGTAGAGGGGTCTCTCTTGGTTACTGCTTTGCTTTCACATGTTTCAGGTTCCTTTCCAACTTCCGCCTGTAGGAATCGCTGAAAAACCTCCGCATGAGCTGCTGGAAGAAGAGCGAATGTCCAAAGACCACGATAGACTGCTGAGACCTGATGGACCGTGCTGATGGACGTGGTTGGCTTTTTGGACAAAAGAGAACCCAGTTGACAAAGACGAAAGCATGGAAAAGCCACGATCCCAAATAGCCAGAAGCTCCGCTGTTGTTGGCAGCTCTTCTGTATCTGTTTTCCCACGTATATACATCTTTGCCTAATCTTGTACAGTAATCTAGTGTGTTGATTCTCTACTTGATCAGTCTAATCAGTGAACTTTGATTAGATCACTCATTGGAGCTCCGGCGCGAAGAGCAGCTGATACATGAACTCCTCAAGCCGAGCCTCAAGCATATGAGATGCACAGGTGCTTCGAGGACAAGGAAAGAACTGAAACAGAAACAAGAAACGTTGGAAGCAAAGCATCGAATGGCATCAAGAAACCACTTCATTTAGGGTTCAAGAAACCACTTCTCAACTTCTTCCTCCCATCAACCACCTTTCATGTATGCCACTTGCCTGCAGTTGCT